AAAAATTTCGCTTTCCATTTTTTTCCCCCCCCACACTCCGCTTTTTTCCACCTACCCTTCCATTCTTATTTCCTCGTTATTACCTTAAAACGTTAGAAATCGTCTCTTCTTCTCCTGTGGTTACTGACGCAGGTACGAACAACGGGAGGTTAGTATTCAATTGAAGTAGGACGAACTAAATAAATACACACACACACAGACACACACATATATATATATATATATACATTTATATGTATATATAGTTTCGTTTTGGGGGAGGGGGTGCAAGAGAATGCGCAGTAAATACTCCAAGGCAAACGCGTCGAGGACTACAGTGGCGAATACAGCACTCCCCCAGGCAGAAAAAAGAAGAAGAACAACAACTGAAGTCTGCTTATTCCTTCCTTTCGCTCCTCCCCCACCCCACCTAATCCTTTCGCTTCACATTAAGCCCCTTTATGCGTCCACTTCAGAGTTTACTCTTGACCTTCGCGTTCCACAAGGGAGCGATGCTTGCCCGCACCATCGCGTACACCACGGGCAAGGGTGGATTGCCATCCACCTCTATGATCACTCCTTCATAGTGTTTCATGAGGGCTTCCTTCTGTTCTCGGTAAATCTTCATCCTTCGCTGGTGTTTCTCACGGGTGTCGTCGGAGCGGATGAGGAGGCGGTTCATGATGGACTCTGGCGGTGGATCGCTCTTCAAGTTGTAAATGCGTCCCGTGACAGGATCCAGACGACGCAGCAGGCAACGCTCCTCTAGCAACTTTGGATCCACATTAATGAAGATCACGGCATCGATGTGAAGCCCACTTTCTGTGAGGGCTTGCGCCTGACGCAACGTACGGGGGAAACCATCGAGAAGGACACCCTTCTTGGCATCCGGCTTCTGTACGCGGTTGATCATAATATTCACAATCAACTCATCCGGGATAAGGTGCCCCTCGTTCATGAGGACCGCGACCTCCCTTCCCAGCGGAGTCCCCCTCTCCACCTCCTCCCGCAAGAGATCCCCAGCACTAAGGTGGAGCAGGCCAAACTCCCGCTCGAGAGCCACGCTCATTGAGCCCTTTCCGCAACCCGGTGCACCAAAGAGCAACAAATTCATTGTTATACTGGGCAACACAAGCGAGGGAAAACTAATACCAGGCCCCGCGGACTCCGAGTCAAGTGTGGCAGAGCAGATTTGAATGGTGCACCGTAAGGAAGCTACACTCAATGGCACACATACACACACAAGTTATGCATGCGTAAACATAAAATAAAAAAGTATCGGAAAAAAAAGGAGCAGCAGAAATGAGGAAAATATAAAATCACCAAACCCATTGAAGGAAGAGACACTGAGAACACACACACACATATACGTATATATATATATATATATATAGTGCACACGCATAGTAACCATGGATGCAGTGATCGACAAATAAACTGCGGAGGGGTGAC